GATCTATATTTCTCTGTTTATAATTTTGAATTTACTCTTATATTTACAAAATTTCTTATTAATGATTTTTATTCATTTCTTAGAATTAAACAGTTAACATTTTACTTTAAACTTCTGTCTATTTTAGAAATTCAATTTCTCTATTCTTTTCTTCTATAATTTTTTACAGATTTTTTCCTTCTGAATTATTAGAATAATTATTAGTAGTGTTATTCAAGTTAATAATCTCCGATTTGTGTATGCTTGCTTCTGAATCTGCATGAGGATATTTTGCCATATTAGGTATAGGAATGTTTTTATGAATCATATATTCAATTGGTGTCATACGACCTTGATTATTTGTTTTAGGTTAAGAATTGAGTCTATTCATAATTTAATATTTGAATTTTAAAATAATACCAGTCAGTTCATATTAATAAATATTAAATATAATGGAAAGTGCATTTATATTCGGATGTCTCTTTGGAATGGGAATCAAAATGACAGTAAGTAGAGTAATAAGACAACCTTTACTTTATAGTAAGAAATGATCAAAAATTAGAATGTCATCAATATCCAAAATATATGTTCTTTACTGGAATTGCCTTTTCAGGATTTGATTGGATTAGACGTCTCTCTTTAGAAACATTATGTGAGAAAGAGGAATTAAATGAATACTTAATCCGAACTGCTCGCATCAATTAATTAGCAACAGGAGCTGAATCCGTTGGAGATTACAAGAAAGAGTTTGTCTAAATTGCCGTAAATGAGCACATTTATTGATTAATCATGTCATAAATCAAAATCATCATTGAATTCACTATTTGGATTATTTAAACTCTCCATAAGTCCTTTGATTTTAGCAGAATCTTTTTAATCAAGTGACATTGCAGTGCTGAAACAACTAAATATTATTATTATATTATTTTACCTTTGTGCTTCTTAAATCTTTCCTAGTTTCTTATAGATACGACCCATCAAAATATATATTGCTGCTTCTTTAGGTATCAATTCTCTTAATCTCTATAATTCATTTAATGCTTAATCATATTAATCTAATTTTATCAATGAATTTGCCTATTATTATTATCTATATATACCTTTTAATACTTATTTAAACCATTTTAAGGATCTAATTTTTCACTTTATTCAAAGTATTTCAAAGCTTCATAATGATCTCCTTTAGCAGCATAACTCATTGCTAAAAATGTTGGAAGAACTGGATTGTTTGAATTTATTTTCAATGCCTAAGTAAAACATCTTATTGCATCATCATATTTATCTGTCTTATAATACATATTTCCTTATCCCCACCAAGCATTATATTATCTTTAATCTAACGAAGTTGCCATGTCATAGGATTTCTTTGCTTATTAAAAATTCTCATTTTATGAAAATTCATGACCTGATAATGTATAAGCATAAGAATAATCTTTTCTTAATTAAATAGCTCTTCCAAAAAATTTAATTGAATTATCTATTTCTTTGCTTAAACTAAAACAATTTCCTATAGCAATCCATGTTTCAGGTGCTTACATACTGATTTATAAACATGAATGAGCTAAGTATGTTAATTCTGATTATTTTTTCAAATGCCATAAGCAAGATGAATAATAATCCAAACCTTCTAGACGATTTGGTTCAATTTGTTTCATTTCTTTCCAAACTCTTTCTGCATCAGTGTATTTTACTTAATCCATGAAACTTCTTGCTACTTTTTCAAGCACCCATCCTGATCTATAGTGTTATGGAGGCAATTTTTAAAAATTAGCAATAGCTTCCACAGAATAATTTGTCCATAAATAATATGGATGGGCAAATAATTTCAAAAGTTATGGCAAACTATTAAATTATTAAATTCATAATCTTACTTAATCAAACTTGGAGATTATTGTATAGCTGCTGTATTGACTTTTTAAATATCACTCTTTTTAGGATTAAAATTTTTATTTTAATTTTATGAGAATTGAAAAGGTTAACTAAGAAGAGATTAATAATTCTAATATCCTACTCCTGGAGTTGGTACCATTTTAGCACCTATTTTTTTCTATTGATGTTCTATTATATATAATAAATTATTTAAATTACATAAGAATTTCATTTAACTATTAGATGTGTCATCCATATGAACTATTTATTATTAAACACCAGTAGTTGAAAATGGCTTAATTGTTTATGATTATCTCTTGCCTGAAAATTACTATAAATAATATAGTTATAAGAAATGTTACAGTATCAAATATTTAGGCTTCATCTCTTATTTCTTCCTCCTTTTATCCTGATTTCAAATTATTATTTGTCTTATTTTTCAATAAATTTTAAATAATTTTGTATATATTACAGCTCTATTATCTATTAGTTTCATATTATCTCTATTTCTAATCATTAAACACTTTATTAATAGTGACAGATTCTCCAATTTTTGAAAGTCTTTCAAAAGCCATCCATAAAGTGGGATTTTAATCTAATGCTCTGTAATATTGATGTTTAGCTTCATCAATACGATGTAATTATTCTTAAATCTATCCTAACAAAAAATAACCAAAACCTCCATTAGGTATAGTTGGAGTTTAAGGAGAAAATTGATTACTAAACTAAGTTCCTACTAAAGCAACTTCGGCTTCCTTATATTTTTTATTTCGATAGAGTGACAATGCATATTAATAACTAAAAGCATTAATTTAATTATATACCGATTGAATTCAGACTTACAATCCTTAAGTATATGACAAGCTTTATATGGCTATTACTCTTATAAGTAACATTCAGCCAATAATGATCGATATTCTTCAATGTCTCTCTCATACACCAATCTTTCAGCTATTGCATTATTAAAAGACAATGATTACCTAAAAAAGTAGCATTTTAATCCAAATGATTTTAAAGAGAATCTAAAATGGCTTCTATTAGTTGTTATTCTAATTAACTTTTCAATTGTTGTCCCTCTTCCTCAATCATAATTCAAAATTTGAAATATTATATATATATATATTTTTTATCTCTCAATCCAATATTTTGGCCTTACATCCTTTTAAATGTACACAGAATAAAAACACTTCATTTAACGCTCTTTCAACTTTCATCTAATATTTATTCTTCCCTTATTCAAATACTAAATCACCATCTGTTGGATCAAATTTAATTATTATGACATCTTTAGGTTCTGGAGTAAAAGATAATCCTTATTTCCAATTTATATTTTTATCTGAATTATGACATGTCCCTTTTATTTATTAATAAATATGTAATACATCCATCTGATCTAATTAAATAAAAACCATGACCTATGGTTGCCAAATCTTATTATTCAACACCTTTTAATTGTCTAGCTTTTTAGAGTGTTACTCCAATAGCAAAACTAAATGATTGCTTCTTTAATTAAGATTATCCTAATTAACTAGCTTATAAATTCTTTTATTCACATTCTCTTATTTCTAATTTGATTTCCCATCTCTTTGAAGATGTCAATTATTATTAAATACAAGCAAATGACCATCCCATAAAAGATGCTGATATAATTAGAAATTAAATACTTGTTGCTTCTATTTCCTTTTTTGCATCGTCTTTTATTGCATAAATATTAGCCTTAAATTAATCACTCCATGTGTATTTAACATTTCCTAATGTTGTAATCTATAAATCATATTGCTATGCTTTTAACATTCCAATCACTTCAGTTTTCAACTTATTCATACGATCATCTATCTATTCCAAAATGAAACTGTATTTGGGAATCTTTTCCACTTAGAATTCTACAACACTCTTTAACAAATCAGCTGTTATGTCTTTCAAATTTTCTGTTTTCCTAACTGTCCATACATATTCTGAAAGTTATTGTAAACTTGGCATTTTCCTATTATTTTAACATTATTTATCTATTATACTTAATTTCATTAATCTCAAACAGATCCAACTTCTCTTTAACCTCTCTTATTATTTTTGATATCGCTTCCTTAATTGCTTTCTCATTACTTGTAATTTTCTAAATCTTCTACAAATCTGCATCTCCATATTTTTCCATTACATAAGATTTGAACTCTTTAAATTATACTACTTTATGAGATTTATCATTATGTTTAGGTACATCTGCCATAGTTAATAATAACCTTGATTATGAGGTGCATTTCTCATTTATACAAAATAAAATTTGATCCATTTTTATATTAATGTTTTTCCCATAATATTTATTTAACAATATAAACTATAATATAGATAACTTAAATTCTTTATTCTAATGGAGAGTGACATTCGAAGCATCAGATTATTTTATAAATCTGTTTGTCAAGGTCACTCATAAACCAAGAGAAAACGGGTGGCAGCTTAGCTTAAATAGTTTATGCTTGTCAATTAGATTTTCAAATAACTATAAAAACTTATTTTTTATATAAAAGTTGATTAATCCAACATTTTTTAATTATTTAATATGATTACTATGTTTAATTATGTCATCCCTTAATTGCCATTATTTTATAAAATTAATCATTAAAAATTATTATAAATACACTTTAAATTTATATTATTATCATTGATATTATAATTAAAATTTACATTTGGATTTGCAAATAAAGTAATTATGATGATAAGGTTCAATTATATCCGAAAATGATTTGCAAAATTATTATATAATAATTATTTAATTTTCAATAATGAGTCTCATAGTCAGATAAAGAGTTGGGATGCATGATGAATCAACTACCCACTCTATCTTATCTAAGGATATTAAAAAAAAAAGTAAGTCACATTTTAAACTTAGAAAACTAAACCAAAAAGCATCACCCAATTAAATAACTAGTGTGCTTAGTTTCAATACCTAAACCATTTAAAGAACATGTCTACATTAAATCAAATGTTGAGCTTAAATTAGCTCTGTCATACATTCCTGACCACTGTTTAGGAGGTTTAAAAGAAACGCCTTGTACTTACAATTACAGAGTCTCACGTACTGACCAATTAGATGACGTCTATTTTTATACTCTCGAATTACTAGATTAAGCCAATCATTCTATTGATTAGATAACCCATATGCTTTTTAATTAATCAGACCCACATGCCTAATTAGCTGCTTCATTAGTACAAGAACGTCATTAAATTTTAAATGATTTCTCTGAATAGCCTTACATTTCTAATGAAGATTTACTTAATGTTGAATAAATTGCTCAAAATTATCCTTATCAATGTACAATACAAAAAGTGAGCAAAGATTCTAGTTCATTATCTTAAAGAATAGTCAATGAATAATTTTATACATTAATGGGAGTAAGTAGAGAAATGATGCTAAATCATTTACATGAAACTAAAACTCTCCCATCCATTTTTGATCTTGGACCTTCTCTTTAAATGTGGTGTGATTTGTCAGCCAATTCAATTCAATCTTCACGTACTTTTGAAACCTCTATCAATACATATGAAGGAGCTTAATACAAATGTATAGTTGAATAAAGACAGATGTTCAAAAGAACATAAGTTAATCCAAATTAAATTGTCTTCATTGAATTTTGGCTCTTCAAAGTAGAAGAACCTTTAAAATCACATCTTATGAATCCTTAACGTATCTATTAGAATCAAATCGATTATTTCAATAAAAAAAATACTCAATAAGAATACGAAGCATTCCTTTAATCTATGAAACAGAAAACAACTCATTAGTATAAAAACAAAAACCCTTGTGGTTACAAAGAATTAGCATGGATTTGATTCCCTATCCATTATTATATATTATTTTATTATATTCATTCCAAATCGACAATAATTTCTGAATTTCTTAAAAATATTTTATTCGTTTTCCCTCTAATATTTTACTAAAATTAAGATAATTTAGGTTACATTTACCCAATATTTAAAAGTCTTTTCAAAAACTTAATTTTCTACTACTTTTGTTTTCTATTTCTTTATTAATTGTAATCTTATTCAAATTCCTCTTTTCCTATTTTTAAAAGTTAAATATATCAGTTCTTTATTATTTTCAATTAATATCAAAATTTTCAATAATATTTAATGAATTAATGCTCTTAAAGTATGAAAAATTACTTCTATTTCAAAAATTAATAATTATTCAAGTGATGCTTAGAATATTTTATATATCTAATTCAATTCTAATATTTCATAATATATAGAGGTCATTATTATAATTTAAATAAAGCTTTATTTCTTATAATAATATTAATTATCAAATTTCTTTTTATTATTCTATTTGGAATCTTTTAAAAAAATAAACAATCAATTATATACTAATATCTAATTTTCTCTCTTTTTAAATTTTAGAGATAAATATATTAAATTAAAATTACTAAACAAAATAACTTTAGATATAAAAGAAATCAAAAATGAATAAAATGGAATTTTTTGATGTCTATAAATTTAATTAAAACTAAATGCTAAATTTAAAAAAGTGGGCTCTCCCGGGAATTGAACCCGGCTCACATGCACCCTAAGCATGCATACTACCGATATACTAGAAAGCCTTCTCTATTATAAAAGAAATAAATAACTTTATGTAGAAGTGCATAAAAAACATTTATTTATTATTATTCATTTTTTTTATCTAGTGGATTGAACAGAAGGAAGTTTTAATTACTTTTCTCCATACCAAAAATTATCATTAACATCATGCGTATTATAATTGGCTCTCTATTAAGATGCAGATTTATTATTAGTAGAATTTCTTGGTTTTCTCTGAATATTATTGTCTATTATTATTTATTCTTAATCTGAAACTCTATTAATTACTTTTTTAACATCATTTAAATTTTAAATTGTTGCTCTTAATTATTATGCTTCCTATTTTAATTACTAAATTTTTTATGATTTTTCATCAACATCTGTTCTCAATAGTAAATTAGTATTTGTTTATTTTTATATTTATATTTTTAATTTTTAAGCATGTTAATCACTCTCTTGTAATTCTTATCTAAGATCTCTTGTATATTTTCTAAATATATTAAATATGATAACACCTTAAATTTCTAAATTGTAATTCTAACTCATAATTTAAAAAACCTCTCTCCTTTTCGTTTTCTTTAAGATCCCTTAGTTCCTATTACTTTTATAAAGTTTATTGAACAAGATTTTCAAGTGTGTCCCTAATCAACATTTCAACTTTCTATAGAATATACACTAATATACATCAGTTGTAGTTTAATTTTGCTTAATCAAGAGTTTTTTGATTTATTCTCTTTTTTCTTCTAATTTAATTGATGCTTATTATCTTAACTAATTTCTAATGATTCAATATAAATACTTATTTTTCTTATTCAATATCAGATTTTGTTTATTTAATTTATGTCTAAACATCTTTCAATCTAATAACAAGATTTTTAAGATATTCCTTCTTTTCCTACTCTTCTTTTTCCTATGAATTATTAATTAAAGGATTATCATCATCATTTTATCCATTAATTTAGTCCTCTTAATCAGACATAAAAAGTAATTTATTTATTTTAATTCTTATAAACTTATTTCAAAAACATCATAAAGGAATGAAAGAATAAAGTAATACATGTCCAATATCTATTTCTGATGTTAAAGAAGTTTTAAAGCCTAAATTATTAGTATTTAATAAAAAAATTGTATGTGCTGACTGTAAGAAATGGATATTAAAATAAAAATATGTTAATTGTATAATTTGTGAAGATGCTTATCATTTTAATTGTACGGTATAAAATTTGAAAATATATATAGAGTTAAAAATAAAAAGTATTATCTAAAGATTGGACATGTTTACGTTGTATAGAATTAAAAAATACTTTTCCAGATACAAATGATGTTGAAATTGATAGTATTTGCTAAAAATGTTCTAAAGAAGTAAATACATAAGATTAGGAGTTATGCTCAAAATGTAGTAAAATATTTCATAAAAAATGTTATGGATCAAAAACAATATCACCAATATGTAACTTTTGTTATTAATAAAAACCACCAAAAATAATGGTAAATAATAAAATGAATCAACTACTTAATTTAAGTATTCCAATAACATGTTCAAATTAATTTATACTACCCTGTTGTGTTTATGATGATAAACTCAGATAGAATTGCTTTCAATCTTTGTAATATGCATTATATTGTTAAAACATAAATTTTAATGATGATTTAGTTTATCAATCTGTGAAAAAAGAATTAAATAATGGATACAGTGAAAAATTAGATCCATTAATAGGAAAAGATCTGAGAGCTTTTAAATAATATAAATAAGTAACTAGGAGTGGTTTTTATGGCCCTTTAATAGTAGAATATAATTTAGATTAGGGATTTTATGTTAAATCTGTTTAACCTATTGCTTATAAAACATTAATTTGTGAATATGTTGGAGATGTATTTAGATTTGCAGATCAAGTTTATAGTACTTCTGATTCAATGATGAGTTTATTAGAAACTGGATTTGCTGCAACATCTCTTGTAATAATTCCTGAAAAGAATGGAAATATAGCAAAATATTTATCAGGAATAAATAATAGTAAAAAGAATAGTAAGAAAATATAATAGAATGTAAAATCTAGAAGATACAATGTTGAAGGTGAATCTAGAGTGATATTATATGCCTGTAGAGATATAAAATCAGGAGAGATATTATATTATGATTATAATGAAGGGGAATTCAAATATAATACAAATTACTTTGTTTGATTTAATATACTATAAACAGAAGTAATCAAGACTTCTACTTTTTTCCTTTTCTTCTTGAAACTTGTCTTCTCTTTTTTCCTTTTCCAACTCTTGCTTTAGCTTTCATAGCTCTTTTATCTTTTTTCAATCTTTTATCAACTGTGAGAACTTTCCTTGAACTTTTTAATTCTATAATTTAAATTATTTATATACTTCCAGAAGCTTATCCTTTTCTAGCAACAATGACTTTTCTTTCTTATTCTTTTTAAATATTAGCTTTTTCTTTATTATATATTCTTCTCACTTATTGCATTTTTGTTTTCTCATTTATACCATCTGTATCAAAAACAGTTTATGCTTTTTTTGCAGCAGTTTTTAGTTTTTTTTAAGCTTTTTTCCATTTTCTAATTTTTGCTTCCATAATCTTAAATAATAAAAGATATAATTACTTTTTTTGGTACTCTCGAATTAATTTCATATAATCTTTATTTTTCTTATTAAAATTCTTCTTTTGTAATAGGTTCCATTTTAAATACATGTCTTTCTTCATCTTCCATAAACCATTATGGTAAATCCTCATCTTCCCATTTATCTCTTCCAAATGAATTTTCTATTATTTATTCTCTAGTCTTTTTTCTCATCATTTTTTTAGCCAAAGCTAAATTAGTAGCTAATTCATCAATATCATAATCTTCTAATTTCTTTTCTGGAACTATTTCTAATTCTTTATGATTTGGATCTTTCTCAGATGCTAATCTAATTTTCTTTTCTTCTCTTGCTGCTATTTTTTTGAGTTTCCTCCTTCTTTTTTCCATATCTGAAATTGGAAGATTAAGTTCAAATTATTTAACTTTTTCATCTTCTCCAGGAAGTGGTTCTTGTGTTATTTTTGCATCTAATAATATTTTATAATTAATACTTAATTTTCTTTAATATTCTACTTCTTTTTTATCAACCTTTTTTAATATATCAACATCCTTATTATCATCTAATTAATTTAAATCATCTTATATCTATTTTTAAAGATGTTTTAATTATTTTGGATCCATAACTTTTTCTTATTCTACTTCACTATCTGAATCATCTTTTAATTTATCAATAAGTTTTTCCTTATCACTTTTCTCTTTTTTCTTCTTCTCTAATTAGGTAATATTTTAATTTTTTAAAGGATTTTCAAAAACTCCATCTTTCTGAGTTTTAAGTTATTCTTTCAATTTTGAAAACTCTTCCTTTTAAAAGAACTTACTCTTTAAATCTGAGAGTTTTAGATGATCTTCTTATTTCTTAATTTTTTTAATAGGTTTACATGCTAAATCATCAACATCAACTTCTTCTTAATCAGATTCAAGAGCTTATTTTTTATTTCTAATTCTTTCTAATGCATTTTCTTTTTTTTATTTTTTATTTTCATAAATTAATTCTAAATTTTAATCTAACTATTTTTAATTATTAAAAGCTAATTTCTCTTTCTTTGGTTTATCATCTTATTTTTCTTCAATATCAACATATCCTAATTTAAGTAAATTTTTATGTTTTGAAAATTAGAACAATTCTTAATCTTCTTCTTAAGGTGTAAATCCTATTCCTTTGCCAGCTAATTTCTTTTCTTATTAAGCTTATTTTTATTTTTATTTTCTTTATTCTTTTAATTCTTTCTTTTATTCTTCAATATATTATTATTCTAATGCTTCTTTTTGTTTATTAACTAATTAATCTATATCATCTTATTATTCTACTTCTTAATTTAATTGATTATTATTATCATTATCATTATCATTATCATTATCTTCTTCTTATTCTTCTGCTTCATCAAGGTCTTCAAATTCAGCATTTTCTTATAAATCTTCTTATTCCTATTATTTTTATTCCCTTCTTTATTTTGATAAAAAATGTTTAATTTTACTCCTCCATTTTAATAATTATATAATCTCTCTTTTTCCTAATACTTTGATATCTTCCATTAATATTTCATAATCTTATGGTGGTTTAGTAAGATTTAAATATTTTTATTTAGTTTCTTCAGTCATTTTGATTCCAGCATATTCAATAAATATTGGATATGGATTATCAGCATGAAGAAATTCTTCAAAATCAATCATTTAATAAACAGTTTAATGAACATCATCAGCATATCCACTTCTATGTCTTTAAGTTCTTTTTTAAAGAATTTTATCAACAGAAACAATTTCTTTCTAAATTTATTATTATAATATATCAGTTTCTGTATCTTTAAATACATGTTTAGAATCAAATAACTTTTCATCAATATATTCTGGTGCTAAATAATCTAAACATACAACAAAGATTTCAGCTGATACAAATCTACTTGCTAAAGGTTTTGTAGCTTCTACTTTTGTAAAAAACTTATTAAAAACCCACATTAATGAATTGTAATCTGTTGATCTAAATACTTTAGTAACAAATACACCTCCCTTTTTTAAAAATTATGATGCTAATCTTAATGCAGATAAAACTAGATCATTTTAATTATAAGCATCTTTAGCCCAACTTGCTCCAACATTAGGAGCACCATCATGTAAAAATACATCTGCTTTTTATGGTATTTCTTTTTTAAGTAATTATACACATTAAGGTGTTGTAATATCTTAAGTAAATGCTTTACATCCTGGAATTGGTTTTATATGAATTAAATCTAAACCAATTATTGTTGAACTTGATGGCATTATTGAAGCACAAACTTGCATCCATCCTCCTGGAGCTGCACATAAATCTACTACTGTTCTTGCATTATTAAGAAAATTGTATTTGCGATTTAATTAGAACAATTTAAAGGCTGCTCTTGATCTATATCCTTAATCTTTTGCAAGATTGTAATATTTATCCAAACGAGAACGAGCTTTTGTTTTTCTAGGCATTTTACTTATTAAAATTAATTTGTGACAAAATAATAATTTATACGCAATATCAATTAATTTTATTCATTAGTTATTAATATTCATACTTAATATAATCTTAATCAATAATAAAAATTAAATCAAAACTTTTATTAATCAAAAACAATTTTCTGTTAATTAATTCTTCTAAAAATTTTAACTATTATTTTATTTCTGTCTATCATTTAATCTAATTTGAATTTGCAATTACAATTTTCTATATTTAAAAATCTTTAAACTCCATATTTGTTTATTAATATTTTGATTATCTCAATTAATTTTCTAAAATTTACTATCTATTAAATATATTTTCTCTTCATAAATTATTTTTCTAAAGAAGTCTCTTACAATATATCTTAATTAGAAGATCTATATAGATGATTTATGGTATACATAGTTCTTATTTAATGTTTATGAGCATAAGATGGTTTCTCCTTCTACCATTTCAATTTTTGTTACAAAAACTAAGTATCTGTCTCTTTATTATATCTGAATCTCTGGAGACATCTAAATAGGACTTCCTATTACTATCAATGTATCTATGTCAGTTATTTTGTGTATCAATTAGATAGAAATTCAAAAATCTGTAATTTAATATTGCCCATATCATATAATCAAATATAATATGGATCATATCTCTATGTATTATTTTATGGCTATGCATATAATCAATAGCTTTTAATATTTAATTGAGAATTGTAGCAATTATTATTTCTCTATTGGTGAGGGATACCACAATGCTTTCACACTGCCTACTTAACTATATTCGATTATTAATCATAACTATTCATTTAAATGGTAAAATCTAAAATATTTTACAATAATATCACTTTTATAATCATGAAGAATTTGAATTGAATGAATCAATCTCTCCATTAGATGGTACTATTTTTATGGCAACCATCTTTCCTTTTTCTTATTATATGCCCTTATAAACTTAACCATAAGATCCTTCTCCTATTATATATTCTAAACAATAATAATTATTTAGATTGATTTGACTTTCATTCATATTTTTGATTTTAATTAAATTAATCGTTGATGGATAATATACCATAAGCATAGTAAATATTTTTGTTTAACTTTCTAAGGAAAAAATATGTTTTGACAGATATTATGAAAAAGCGAAAACATTAATCAAGTCTTAATGAAGAAAGAGCACGTTAAATTAAGGAAAGAATCTAAAAAAAAAAATAAAAAACTAAAGATTTTGTTCATCCTGAAAAATTTGTCGATTAATATCGCAAATAATAAACAGCATTTTCTTATTTTAAAAGAAAAGTATTCTAATAACTTATATATATTTAGGAACGTAAATAAAATTTAGAAACATTTGATATAAAATCTATTCCCATTAATAAAACATTACTTGTGGTGAGAATTAGAGGGTATATAATGTTTACTAGATTATTTTAGTGTTAAAGATATCTCTGATAGATAATAAAAATTATTAAAGGAATTAAGGTTAAGCAAAGTTAATACAGCTGTTTTTTTGAAGACTACAGTTGAAATTTGGAAAAAGTTAAAATTAGTTGAAAATTATATAACTTATGGGTATTGTTCTCCAAATCTATTTAGATTACCAACAAGATAAATTATTAATGATTTAATTGTTAAAAGAGGACATATAATGAAAGAAAAAGAAATTATTGCATTGAAATCCAATGAAATCATAGAAGAATATATGAGTGAAAAAGACATTATTTGTGTTGAAGATATTGTTAATACAATTGCAAATGCATCAGAGAATTTTGATTTTGTAACTAAATTCTTAGTGTATTTTATTAAAATTATCAAATTAGTCCATTAAAATTAAATCATCCAGAAGGATAATTAAAAAGTGGAAGAATTAAAAAGCCTTTAACAAAATAGGGAGAATGGGGTTATAGAGAGGAAAAGATTAATAGTCTTGTACAAAATATGATTTGATTTATATATTTTATCATAATTATATCAATTTCTCTATAAGATTGCTAAATTTTAAATAAAATTCTTTAAAATAAATAATTTTTGAAAATCTTAATAATAGACAAATTGTTCCTATACTATACCAATATAATTAATTGAATTATATAAAAAAAATTTCATTAATTATTTTGAATTCAAAATAAAATATCATGTAATAGCATAGTTTAGATGATGACATACTTTACTAGGTATTTCAACTCAATTTATAATAGTTGAGACGCATTTTAAGTTTTTAATTCTTAAGTAGAAACTATTTTCTATTAAGAAAATTTGATCCTAATACAGGCTGTATAAATCTTTAGTGTTTGGCTAAGGAAAAAAGTTTTAGACAATTAGTAGATTATCCCTATGGAATAGAAACAATAGCCAATGTATAAATTTTAAAATATTCACTTTTAGATATTAATTTAATATAACTACACTAATTGGATTTTTGATCAAACCTTCCATGTCATTAGACCAATCTTTGAAAAAGAAAGAAAATAAGTCTAAATTTTAATTAAAAAAAATAATGTTGATGAATTTAAGATTTTTTTAGAAGAATTTGACATTGTAAAGGAATACGAAGTTTAAGAAGCAGAGTATATAGCAAACAAGGATATGATCAAAATATTCATCATTTTTGAAAATGAGGATGATGCATAGATTAGTTTTAGTAAAATCTAACAATGTAAAGCATTAGTAACATTTAAATATAAATTTTTAAGTTTGCAATATAAAATGCAAAAATGGAAGAAGTTGATTATTTTTAAAAATTTCTTAATATTGTTTAATCTAAACAATAATAATTTTAAGATTATAGAATGAATAATCATAAAAACTATTAAAATAATTAAATTGATGACTAATAATTTTAATAATACTCATAAGCTTAATAATAAAATTAATAATTTTAAAATTAAAAATTATATGAAAATGATAAATAATTTAAGTAAGATTATTCTTCCTCTGATATTGTAAACTAAAGATTGAATCAAATAAGATCAAATGAAAAAATTGAATTAAATTATGCTCCTGTATAAGAATAGTAATCTATGTTTTCATTTGTACCTTTTTTAAATTCTACATAATCAATAACTAATCAAATAACACAAGATATTCCAAAATTTATTGAAAAAAACAATTCTATTGATAAAATTTAAGATGAAAGAAACACAGAAAATATGAAATAATCTGAATATATTGAATATTAAACCAATCAAATATAAATACTAAGTGAAACTGAATCAAATAAAGAAAATTCTTTGGAGAGAAATAATAAATAAACACATTAAAAAGAATTATATTAATAAAAATAATACATGGATTAAGGATATTAAAAAAATGGATATGTAAAAATTGATTAATAATTATTAGTAAAAACGAAGAAATAATTATGGCAATAATCAAAATAGACAAAATAATAACAAAAATAATAGAAAGCAACAATATTATAGCAATTATAGTATTATATTTCATAAATTTAGATCGTTTAGAGGATGATTTAAGGGAGTTTACTGGATTTAAGAAATATTAATAAAGATAGCAGAAAGAATATTTTGAGTTAAAGAAGGAATATTGAATTCTCAAAAAATTTTTGTTATTCCATAACTTTAAATTTTCAAAATATATTAATTATATAATTAATGAATCAAAAAGAGAAACTTGCTTATTTTCCAAATTTACTTGTATTCTAAAAATTTTATATCTCTTAAGGGATAATCTGATAAAGTGATGAGTTAAAACATTGATAGTAAGAAGGGATTAGAAGAATATTTAGCAATCATGTAAGAACGAGCTAATGTTGAATAATAATATGTAAAAGCTTTAAATAGATTATAATCTTAAATTGATAAGTCAAAGTATAAAAATATTTAAATTTTATAGCATAATTTTAATGAAGGAATAGTTAATTAATCAATTATAGAATAAGATTGAAAGGATTGAAAGTTTTGTTGAGTTCATTAGAACTGAACTTTAGGATTAGGTTAAGGAAACACTTAATTAATAAAATTTGATTTCCAATAAAATTATTGAAGAAATAAAATAAATGGAATAGACTTTAAATGAAAAAAAGGAAAAGGTTTTAATAACAAGATCGGATTATAATATAAAATATAAAGATGTTGAATAATCTGGAATTTTAGATGTGGTATACTAATATAGTTTAGATGTTTCAGAAGATCAAACTATTAAACAAATATGTAGGTATATAATACTTTTATATTTAGAACATAATAAATTTCAATCGAATGTTCTAAGTTAGAAAAATAATATTAATTATCTATTGTTGCTTATAATGAATTTTTAGATGTATATAAAACAAAAATGGAAAGTTATTTGATTTAGATGGAAGAATTTGAGCAGACTAAATTATTAGTTCATAAGGATACTTTATTAAAAATGTTTTTATTTGAAGTTTCAATGTCAAAACATCAATTTTAAGAGTTTGAAAAACTTAACGAATAGATAAGGAATATAAATATTTAAGATGTTATAGAAAATTTTATAATGAAATATAACAGACCAGATTTTATACCTGAATAAATGGAATTTAAACATAATACTACTTTATTATTAAAAAAAATTGAATGTTTGAAATCTTAAGAATATCAAAAGTTAAAAAATTTAATTAAAGCAAATACAGATAAATTTTATACATTATTTTCAGAAATAGTTGAGAAAAATGTATTAATTTGGAATAATCTAGAATTAATAAACTATTGAAAATTAGGATCTCGTTTCTTTAATAAATAGCAATAATTGTTAAGCTTACTTTAAGATTTTCCTAATTCATATAAATTCTATTTGGAATGGTGGTTAATTTTCAAATGATTAAACAATAATAGATTTATTGGAATAAAGTTCTTAGAATAAAATACTTTGGTTGATTGCATTAGATATATAGGCTGAAAAAAATAATTATAGAATTCCTAATTCATAAGCTTATGATTAAATTATCAAATTGAGTTAATTGATTATAAGTTAAGTAATTACTTATTTATGATTTTAAAAGTGTTCATAATAAATGGATATTACACCATTAAGATAATTAATAGTATTGAGTTCATTGATACATATATTAATTTCGAATAAAAAGCATTATTTGATGTAAAGCATGAAAAATAATCAAATTTTCACTACAACAGATTTCATAGAAGCAAGTATAATAGAAGCAATATATGATGGATTGGTGGAAGAGGTTAAGGATGAAACAAACTCAGTTGAAAAAATTAAAAGGTTTAATTCTATAAATAAATTCTATAGATAAAAAATCAATTTTTTTACCCAGATTTCAAAAATTTGTTTCGCTCTGTTAATATTTAATAAGAATGATATAATAAAAAATTATGCAGAAAACTATTTAAAGCTTTTACGATTGGCTTCTAATGCAATTAGAGATTTAACATTTTAGATTGAAAGTTATCAAAAGTTGTGAATTATTTATTATATTTAATTAAATAAAAATTCTTAGAGAATGGCATCACAAATGTATTTATTTAAAAGAACTCTATTAGAGTATTTAAAGAAAAGGATTACGAATTTATTTATAAAACCAGAGCAATCTAATTATAATAAACTACAGACAATCCATTGAAATTAGATAGACCAAAAGTCACAATATAAAGAGGAAGAAAAGGAAATGTATAAATAAGAACAAAAGGGAATTTCATTGATCCTTTATCTAGAGCAGCAAATTAAAAAGCTTAATAAACAAATCCATTAAGTCGACCTTAAACTGTAGATCCATTAGCTAGACCAATTGGATAACCAACATCTAAAATAGAATAATAATAAGCTTAAGTCTAAGCTAAAAGTGTTGAACCTAATAAGATATAATAATAATAATAATAATAATAAGATGGAAAACTAGAGATTGATGCAGAAGAGAAATAATTAAAAGCTACAGGAGAATTTTCAATTTATTGGTAAGAAATAAGGGATGATTTTTAAAATATTTTTCAAATAAAAACATATGATTTAGAATAACCAGTACCTAATGTATGATAAATATATAATCTAGCCTTTTGGATCCAATGTTTAAACAATGAATTAATTCGATGGATAAGCTAAAGCTGCTTATAGTGGAGATAACAAAATTGAGTATTAAACTTAAGCTCCAAGATAAGGAACTTCTAAGTAGATTTTATAAAAAACATATATTCAAAAAGTATTAGATATCAGAAGAGATTTAAAAAGATAATGGATTAATGGAGATAAAGTTGCATCATTACAATTAGCTATCTAATCTTGTAAATTATTAATTGATAATGATAAACCTCTCTTTGCTCCTGTTAAATATGTTTACATTATTGATATTTTGGAAACCTTTGGTAAATTTGTAATTGAAAGATTATTAAAACTAAGTTATCCTCAATATACAGATTAAAAAATAGCTGAAATTAGTTTATAAAGTGTAGTTGGATCAAATATATCTGAAACAGCTTCAGAAATTGGAAGAAATTGGATTAATAAAATAGGATCTATTAGAGAATTGTTGCCTCGATTGTATATAGAATCAACATTATTGAAGGTTTACTATTTTATTGATTAAAATTAAATTAAACCAATATTTCAAAGATTAATTAAATAAGTTAGAGCTATAGGTGATTACATTAATGTACATATTTTTAATTTATAATTAAGGCTTTATATTTTGCACTTTATTTATTCAGAATAGGGGCAGAATTATTTTCTGGTGAAAAAGATTACCTTATATCAACTTTAAAAGATTTCTTTATTTATATGAATTAAAAAAGTAAGTTTGGAAAATTTGAAGTTTAAGGAGATCAATATTTAAGATTATTTGAACCATATTTAATTTAAACATTTAGATAATATTCATAGAATTGTACAGAGGTAATAATTATATTTAAATTAATTTAGAGAGAATTTAAAGATATATTTGAACATTTTAGATAAAGTACCTAAAATCATTTTGTTTTAAAAAAAATGATTGAATAATTTTAAGCTGTTCATATCAGTACTTTAGCATTAGAATTATTTTCTATTATGTAAGCTTATCCTGTAGAAAATAAATATTAATTATATGCTTGTTTTTTACCAAAAATAGCAAAAGGATTAACTAATGTTGCTGCTGGTTCTGAAATTTGTCAATATGTTTTACAAGACATTTTATAAATAAAGTCTTTTTCACTCTTTTTAGAAATTTTGGCCTCCTTAATAGAACTAATCTTTAGATCATTTTAGGGATATCAAAAAAATCAATTCTTTTTCTAAATTCTTTAAAGATTTAATGATTTGTTTAGTATGGTTGAAAAAGATTAAGTAAATACAAATTAAAGCAGAGATACTTTTATTAAATTACATTAATTTATTATCAAAATATTTTAAGATTCTTAAGATATTTCAGAAATACTTTAGATTGATACATTTATAACTTGTATTTAATTTTTCCCTGAAGATATGAAAAAATTAGTATGTAATGATTTACTTTCAATGATAATAAATAGAGATTAAAAAGAAAAAATTACTGATCCTATGGCTGTTCATTCAATTGTTAAATTAACAACTAATTTAAATAATAAGAAAACAATTACAAAAGATGAATCTAAGAATTTAGCCAAAATTATCAATTAATTATTACAAAAGATTGACTTTGGTAAAGACTTAGAATAATCCTTAAATTTATATGCTGAAATGAGAGGTTAATTTGGAAATATAAGTGGTTTATCTGAAATATTAATTGATAGAGCTTTAGATTTGATTTTTAGAGGAAAAAGATTATCAAAAGGAAAGAATCAAAAAAAAATTATTTCTTTCTATTAAGCTTGCATAGCATATAGTTTTATAACTATTCCAACAATAGACAATCCTATATCAAAGCTAAGAAAGTATCTATAAGTAGCCTAAGTTGGTTTATCATTAAACTTATTATCCCAAAGTGAAGCAGTCATAAAAACAGCAATTGAAACTCTACTTGAATTACCTGATACACATAATGGACGTCCTATTGATGAAGTTGCTCTACCTTACATTTTAGATTTAATTTCTTTTATAATTTTGGTCCCTGATGATCCATCTGCAGGATATTTAAATATTTTTCAAGGATTATTGAAGGCTATTGAATAATTTAAATGGAATCAAAAGAATGGAGGAATTTATTCTATTGTAGTTTATGTAAATTGTATCCAATACTTATGTGCTTAAGTTTAAGAAAGATTACCTTATCATTTTGAAAATGTTAAATCTAATGATGCTTTATTCAACAAAGATACATAATTTAGTATGACTGTATTGGAATTAGTACAACAATTATATATTAAATTGGGTGAACAAACAACAGGAATTTTAAAATTAAATATTACTGATTCTATTGTAAAAAATATTTATATATTAAAAGGAAAATGGTTTAATTGTTAAATAAATGTTAAGTTGCTTAAATAGATTGTTGTTGCTATTGAAATTTAACAAGGAAGCACAAACTACATTTACTATTTTTATAGATTTAATATATAAAAAGATAAATGATTTAAATAGAGATAGAACTGGAAAGGTGCAATTGACTTTGTTGAAGCCATATTTCTTAATAACTTTTCTGAATATTGAAAAGTCTACAACAGTAATAAATAAATCATTAATATTTTAGTTTAATTTTGAAGAGAAAAGGAATTAAATGATAAGTATTTTAGAGGCTGCAAGAAATTGAGTTATGATTTCATATAGATGTTATTTTAAGTATAAAAATTTCCTGTAAACATCCTGGATCTTATAAAAGACTTGAATTATTTGATCATCTTTTCAAAATTGAATTGTCATCTTAAAAATAAGCACTATTATCATTTACAAACAATATGAAAGTTTCAAATAAGGCTAAAAAATTTTGTAGAATAATTACTTAGTTTCAAAATAGGCGAAATTTGTTTATATTTATTTTTTTAAAAGTTTTATCATAATTATAAAACTTCAAATGATTTTATTGTCCTGAACCTTGAGAAAATAAACCAAAATGGAAATTATTAATTTGTACAGTTGTTTTAAGATAATAAAATTGAACATTTAATAGAATCTGAATGCAAAAAGAAAATATGTAAATAAAAGATTAGTTGAAATAAATGATTAGAATTATAATTGATGATCATTTAAAAAAAAGAATAAATGAAAAAAAAAATATATGAATAAATTTATATTATTTGTATTAATACTAATTAATGGGGAACTATAAAAAATATATGAAGAAATGATTGAGAACTTTTAAGGAAATAATGGTAAAAAGAATAAGAAATTTAGGTTGGAATATATAACATGGTTAGGCTCAATAAGAAATTTGTAATTCTAAATTTGTATTTGGTGGATTATAAAGTTAAACAATAATTAGTAAGGTAATTCCAGTTCCGAAACATTCTTACATAAAGATTAGTTTGGATATTTGGAGGTAATATGGATGGGTTTATATACAGTTATGAATAGTTGGGATAAGTAAAAATATATTTGGATCAGAATGAAGTATTAAAAGAATCATAAATGGAGAAATGTAGTGAAAATAAAAATGTGATTCAAGCAATTACATCTGAATTTGTTCATAGTGGATCTTCGATAATAATAGTAATGAATGGAGATGGATAGGAGAATGAGAATAAAGTATGAATAAAATTTATTATTAGTGGGGATTTCGTAATTTAGTACTTATGATAGAAGAATGTCCAGGATTATGTTAAGTTTGTGATTATATAAATGTAGATGATTAATGTTAAAAATGGATTGAATTTTAGAATAGTTGGACAAGTACTCATATAAATTTTATGGGATAAGACGGTTGGATATCATTGGGTGGTATAAATGGTGCTACAAATTGTGGAGGTATAATAATATAATTATTAGAATAGGAGTACCGTTGATAGGAGGTTACAAAAAATTTGGATAAAGGTAAGGTTTGAGAAAGATAATAAAATTGGTACCACATTATAAATTAAGACTGAATGTTTTATGGGCTAAGATTGACTCTTGGGATAATGAGAAAGGATTAATATTAATTGATGGAAAGGAGGTTTGGAGTTAAAGTTTTAATAATAATGATGGATATGGAATAAAGTTATGTGGTAATTCTGAAGCTAAATATCTTACTCTTTTTAAAAGGATTGATTTAACAGTTAATCATACAGGTGATTAAGTTTAGATAGATTTTTTATCTACTTTAGATTAAGGTGGTGATGATGAATCTTTTGGTTTAAGGGACTTATAATTATTTTATAATCCATGTTCTAATTCATGTGATTTATGTAGAGGTCCAGAATAAAAAGACTGTATAAGTATTTAAAATAAATTGATATAAATTTTAGAATGTTCTAATAATTAATTATTGTAATCTTTTTATGGATGTTAAACTTAGGTTGCATTTCATTTATTATAAGCTAATTTTTATCAAGATAGATTTACAAATTCTGAAGGGTGGATTTTAAAGGAGACTAAATCAAATACAATGATTACTATTTGTTAGTAAAAGACAATCTTAGGAGGTAATAGTGTTTTAGGAGCTGAAGGAATAGCAGAGAAAAGATTTATAATACCTCTTCATTAAAAATTAAGAGTTTAAATGACTTTATATAAAATTGATTCATGGGATGGAGAAATTTTAATTGTTGAAGTTGATGACTAAATTATTTGGTAAGAATAAGATTACCAACCAAATGATGTTAGTTTATGTGGATCAGATTTTTTTGATAAGATAATTTATGTTGATGTTGTTATTCAACATAATTAATCAGATACACTTCTCAGAATAAGATCTACTTTAGATGAAGATGCTGAAAATGGTAATAAAATATATGAATTTATAGAATCATGGGGATTTAGAGATTTTAGTTTAATGTTTGAAGTTTCTGAATTAGAAAATATGATAATAATATTTCAGAAACTTCTTTCTTTGGAAATAATATTAATTATAATTAGTTTGTTATGAAAAAGAAATTATTTGCATAATTTATATATTTACTATATATTTATTAACCAAATCACCATTCTAAGATATCTAAATTCTTTTCAAATTCAGCAGATCCTTCATAAAATTGGGAATACCATTATCTCCAATTTAATAATGCTTAATCTGCATAAGTTTTCATATTATATCTTAAGGTTTCTGAGAATATCTTTGCATTCCATAATTTAACATCAAAGATCACTTATCTCAATTCAGCATGAAGAAGGTATGCTGATAACCAATAAGGTAAATAACCATTAGTAAATACAGTATGGTAAACTTTTTAAGTGAATTTTTCAACAGGTTGAATTGCTTATTTAAATAAGACTTCAAATAAGGCACTCTTAACATATAAAGCAACTGTTGCTGGACCCATCTAAAATCCAGTTGCCCAAACAGCATGAAATTTATATTTATTAAAGAATATTACATATCCATCTAATAAGAGTACATTCATATATGGTATAAGTTCTTTATTAACAAGATATTGATCAAATAAAGTTTTTTAATAAATTCTACATTTTTCTGTTGGATGTGTCATCTTTTCCAAAAAATCAGAATCTTTTGCATTTTTGGTTCTCATTTCCCATTTTAATTATAATATCCATGATGGAATAATATCCATAGCTGAATAATGGATATAATCAAAATGTTTCATATCAGCACCATTTTCTGGTATTTCTTATATGTGACAATTTACATAATTAACACTTTCAGCTCTCAAAGTTAAATGTTCACTTTACTCACTTACCAAATCGTACCATCTAAAATAATAATATGTTGTTATATTTACGGTTTAGATTCTTTATTATGTAGCCATATATATACAATTCCTTTTAATTCTTTGACAAGATAAGTTTTAATTTTAACTTCCCCTTCAGATATTTTCTATAAATACTCTCCTTTTTGATTTTTAGTCACCTTTTCAATATCTGGATAGCAATAAGTTTAAACAATTTTGGGATCTAATTTATCTGAATTAACACATAAACCACTTTTACCATCAAATGCCCATCCATGAAAAGGACATCTATTAATAATTATAAATAATAATTACTCAATACAAGATCTAAATTTTACTTATCCTCCAATTCCTAAATTAGCACCCATATGTGGACAATAAGCAGCTACTGCATAAACATTTTTATCTGTTCCTCTATAATAAGCAATATGTCTTCCACATAGTTTTATTTCTTTTACATCTCTATTTGATTTATTAACAATAATACCCTTATTTCAATTCTCCTGATCTACATAAACGATACCAACCATTAGGATAAGATGGTGGACATTTTCCTCTAGGCAATTTGTTTCTTATATTATGTTGTTCTAACTTCTCTACTATTGTAAAGAATTTGAATTTTCTATAATACAGGTAATAAAGGATCAAGGCTATCAAAGTTAGTATGATTTCGGTTGATAAGATTGTCATTTTTAAAAAGGATTTTATCAAATAAATTTATATTTTATATCTTCTTTTTCTATATACAGTTATATTATTTTAATATTTAATCAGTTAACAATGGCAGATGATGATAATAATTAAGTGATCTAATTCCCGGATGAAAACCAAGATCAACAAGTAAGTAAAACAATTATTTCCAAAGGATAATGGTTAACAAATTTCTCCAAATTAGTAAAATGATGAATAAGTTGATAAATATGATTAAAATTATAATCAACAACAAGAACTTGATCCTAACGAACTTAAACCACTAGAAACTGAAAAATAACCCATTTAACCCATTTAGCTTTCTCCTGATCCTAATGAAGGCTTTTTAAACAGGATTAAAGGATGTTCATGCAGAAGACAGTGTGATGAAAAGACAACAGATAATTAAGAAGGATTTCTTACAAAACTTGATAGATTTATTTAAAAATACTTCACTCCCACATATTTGCTTTTAGTTTATTATTCTGTATTTTCTACTGTATTATTATTTTCACTTAAATTAATAATTTTGGATTAAGATCTGTATCATCCTGAAATTTTAGGGGTATTTTTAAATTATTAGCATTAGGGCTTATTTTTATTTGTATAATTATTAAAAGGCTTACTCATTTATTTTTTAAATGATGAATGGCTTGATGAATTGCCTTATTTAGATAGTTCCTTTGAAAATGGATGGAGATCTTTTAAAATAGCATTCTTTATATTAACTAATTTAGATATTTGCTATTGGATCTATTACATATATGTATAAAATAAAAAAGATGGGACTATTGAACATATGATGACATTGTGTAGAATGATTGATGCATTCTTCTTTAATTTCCCACTTATGATAACCTTTTTCTATCTTTAAATGCAGGATTTATAAAACCTATAAATTACCTATTTAGTTATTGCAGGTCTAAATTTACTCTCTATAGTTAATGGATTTATGCATTTAAATTTTTTTGCTGGCAGTTCCTTTTTAAGTATTAGATGGAGTTTTTAATTTATTTGTGAATTGTACCTTAAACTCCTTTTAGTAGTGTCAGTGTATTTTTAATTACAGGAATATAATATTGAATATGAATACTTTGGGCTATTTTGCATTTGTGGACTAATCTAATTTTATTTATTCTCTGAAGATTAAGATTTTACAGGATAAGTTCTATCAATTATTTATTTCTAATTGAAAACATTTTTTGTATTAACTTTCAAAGAAGATAGCTTTGGAATGCCAGATTTGGATTGTGATGCATAACCTGGAATATTGAATGTAGTTGTTCACAAATCAACGTATTATTTCATATTTTATTTAGTTATTCTTACATTTAGAAGGCTTTTAACTTTTTCTAAATGATGTCTCTTGCATTTGTATTTTGGCTCTTTGGGGGATGGGACACTATAATATCAAATTAGATACTACTTTTTATGTATTTACTAGGTTTAGGATGCTTTAGTGTTATTCTATTGAATTTGCTTTATATTATTATAAGTGGATGGAAAAAAAACATGGTCAAACCTTCTTGAAATATCATTTATCATGTTTGATCAAATTTTTAGTTTTTATTCAATATGCTCCATATATGAAATTTAAAAAAATATCATTTTTGTGTTCTTCTTAAGATTTTCAATTTGTTGTAAATTGTATTTATCAAATTATATTAATGAACCAAAAAATTTACAATAATAAAGATTATTTTTAAAAATATCATCTAAATTACTAAAAAATAAAATATATTAAAAACATTTAAATTATATTATAAATATATTGAATGTAAATTCCAAACAGCTAACCTTTTTTGCAATATTTTATCGAAATTCTATTACTATGAAACATTCATTAATTAAAGTGTTATACCTCTGTCATTTATTAGATGTATTATTGTTTTCATTTATCTTTATTATTAATTAATACATTTTATATTTAATTATTTTTAAATAAAAATTTCTTTAATTTAAATTTTTTTTACTTAAAAAGTTGAAAAGGGAAGACTATTCAATGCAATCGTTATAGATAAAGTCAATAGGAATAGGTATTATAAGATATTTTTGATATTTTTATTGTTTTTTTTTCAATTAGTCAAGTTGGTTTAAAAGAAGAAAAAAATTTATATTCGTATACATTCCCTCTTGAAACTTAAAATAGATCTCAAGCATCTTATTCAATTTTCATTAGAGTAATCTTCAGAAATCTTCAGCCTTGTATAAAAATATTCTCATTTTATATTTAATTGAGAGCTGAAGTATACTTAACTTGTTCAAAAAATTTAGCTTTAAAATTTTTTATAGAATAATGAATATGTAATATTAGAGATCAAGGTAGCTTAGTTTGAATTCCTAATCGACCTTTAATAGTGATTTTATTTTTTTATATTGAATTTAAGCCAACTCTTGTTTCTAAAGGTTTAGAAATACCAATGACAAATTAATGCTTTCTTAAAATTGATAGAAACTAATCCTAGTCTTGAAAAATAGCCTATTCATTCAAGTCTGTATCAATTGATTCCCAACCATTTAAATTTAAGGAAGTTGATTAATCAATAGAGGATATCTGAATTTAGACTTGTTCTATTGTTTCCATCTTGACTATTGATTTATTTTTCGAAATTATAATAGTGTTGTATTAATTTAAATAAAATATGTTTAAGTTGTAAAATCTTCAGTGAGGCTAATTAAATTCATAATAATTTATAAATAAATTTGTATATCTAACCTAAAATTTCAGAACTAGACTGGTCGCGGTTTTAATTAGTTTTATGTAGAATAGTAATTTGTTGATAACTTAATCAAGTTAGCAAGAAAGGGAAATCATAAAAATCTACTAGCCAGCAAGAAATGTTAGTTTTTAATTGAAAGTTAGAAAAAATGGAATAAAAATTTGTATCAATTAAAAAGCAAGAGTTAAAATGGAAGTAAGATATTAGGTTAATAAAAAAACTGAATATAATTAATATAATAATGAGTTTGCATTTATTAGAAACATTTTTTTTATAAATATTACTCTAACTTCAATGGGATCTAAAAATTCAAAAGAAATAAGTAACAAATGATAAATAACCATAGATTCGAATGATGCAGCATAAATAGGTGAAAAAAAAGAGAAGAAATAGGTTGAAGTTCAATCGAATGAGAAATCTCATTAAAAGAATCAGAATTAGAAAATGCAATTATAAATCAATTAAGAATAATAAAGGATTCAAATCACTAAGTTAGAAATGGAGCAGCTTCAATAACATGAATTAACATTCTATAAAGGAGATTTTGAAAATTAAAATGTCGCTCAATAAGATCAGTCAACAGTTCTCAATAATATTGTTATAAGCTAAGTAAAAGAATAAGGATTAGGATCATGTTTAGATGCTAATGTTGATATTCATGATGATCAATGGATGGATGTAAATGGATGTAGAAACAAACTGAGAAATGATAGAAATATAAAAATAGAAGAGCATGATCCTATAATTGTGGCTATATTGGATGATTTGAAATGTAAAACATCTGTTCATCATCCATTTGAGAATTAAGCAAAACCATATCTTGGTACTTAAATTTTGATTTCTGATCGAATAATAGCTGGATTTTGGAATAAGTTAGGACCATATAAAGTGATTAATTGCAACTTTAAGCCATTTGAACTATAAGAGAATTAGATATATTATGGAGAATGGTTTTAATAAAAAAGAAATGGGTTTGGATTTTTGATTTGTGAAGATTTTATATATGAAGGATATTGGTTTAATGATGTTTATCATGGTGAAGGAAGGATTATTAGAAAGGATGGAAATATATATATTGGTGAGTTCAAAAATGGATAATTTAGTGGTGAAGGTTTTTTCCTTAACAGTGAATAAATAGTCTATGAAGGAGAATGGGAAAATGGACAAAAAAACGGTATTGGTAAAGAATAGATGCCTGATGGATCAGTATTCATCGGTTAGTTTCAAAATAATTAACGAAATGGTTAGGGAAAGTTGTTTAATAACAAGGAATAGTTTTTTTTTGAGGGATTATGGGTAAATGGAAAGGCTATAGAAGAGGGGAAAGTAATTTGGCAGGATGGTAGAAAATTTGAAGGAAAATGGTGCAATGGAATGATGCATGGACATGGTGTATTTATATGGCCAGGAGGAAAGAAATACATAGGAAATTATGTGAACAATGTAAGAGATGGATATGGAGAATATTATTATCCTGATGGAAAGATTTATAAAGGAATGTGGAAGAAAGGTTTGATGCATGGTTAAGGAATAATAATCTATCCTAATAATTCCCATGAAAAGGGTCAGTGGAAGTAAGGAAAGAGAGTTATTATTTAAGAATAAAAAAACAAAGAAAAATCTTAAAAGAAGCAAGAAAATAAAACTATCTTGCCTCTTTGAAAAAATTTTGATTTTACTAATTTAGAGTTATTAATAATAAATAAACCTAAAGTTATCTTATTCAATTATAAATCATTCTTTAAGTGCACAAATAAGTGCGGTTCCTCTTAATGTCCAATATTCAGGAGGTTAATCCAAAGTTGGTAAATCCTACAAAAATATATTATTAAAGAATTACCACAGCTAAAACGTAATTTGTACTTTATCCTGTTGTGGATAAAACACCAGCTCTGGTTTATGTTTTGTAAACAGGACAACTAATGATTAATTAATGAATAATACCTATAATTATCAGATCGTGATGAATATTTGTCCTATTGTATAGGTAGGAAATGAATAACTGGCATGAGCATATTCATTTGACCCTATAAAATTAATGATAAAATAATACAAAATTGAGATCTGCCAAGCATTTCTTTTTCCATTAAGCTCCTTCCAAAAATAACCCATAAATAAAAACACCATCTACAGGTTTAGTAGAGCATTATTCTTTTTCAAATTCTTAGACCTTAAAGGAGAAAACAAGATTATCTATAGCTATAGCAGTCTTACGAGCATGTGTTTATAGTACTCCAGTTAAAAATCCTTAAGGATAAAAAAATCCAGAGATCCAGAAACAATTAGGTCCACCAGTGATTAACCATTCTGACATAAACTTAACTCTTTCTTTTAAATCTCTAATCCAAGATGCTAAACCCTTTAATGATAAATATCCCACTTTATTCCATACTTTAGGAACTTCATTATTCATAAGAGAATAATACATACTATCCAATTCTTAACTCATTACAACTATACCTTCAATTGCTTAAGCTAATCCTTGCAATGTTCTTCCCATTGTTGATAATAAGATATTAAAACGTTCTAATTCTTACAAAAGAACAGTTGATAATGATGGAATAAGATTTTTCTCTGGATTTATTAGCCATAATTCTTTATTTGATTCATCTTTTGTTAAAAGTGGAGGAAGATCATCTTAGATGCTTTTTACTAATTCTAAAACTATTTAATCAGGTGTTTTTTCAGATGATCCTCCACCCTCTCTTGGTTATATAGATAAGATTGTTTCTAAAATGGAATCACTTTCTCTTTATTAGAAAGTGATATTTGCATTTTCATGCATACCAAAAACTGCAGGGTCATCTGTCATTGGTAATGATTCAACATATTTAATATATTCTTCAACTACATTTTTTACAGGTATTCTGTAAGTATTATTTTCACAAAAAACATAATTATCATCTAAGACTTCATTACAGATGAATTTTTTAAGAATTGTCATTAAACATCTTCTATCCCAATCATCAGTAACTCTTCCTCCATAATTGATATTACCACTAACATATAACATTGCATCCCATGGAACAGTATCATTTTCACCTAAAAGCATTTTAATAACTGTTTTTGAAGTATCAAGATCACTGTCATTAAATTCATATTTTATATTCCATCCCAAAGGACCAAATTTCTTACGTTCTTAAATAATTGCATGGAAATAACATAATCCCATAACCAACTTATGATAAATTTCTGGTTTAGCTGCAGTATCTAGAAAATCATTTGATATATCTTAAAGTGATCGTTTTAGATTTGCCTTCAAACCTCTTGGAGGTTCGGTTGTTAACTTAATTCCATTTTAAAGAATACTTACTGGGAAATAAGAAGCAGGCATAGATGTAAGGAATAATCTATAACTAGGATTGACTGTTGATTTTTTAGCTGTAATCTCATCAACTAATTTTTCTAAATCTGGCATGAATGTTCTAGCAAGATGACAATTTTATAATAACACCCAACCTCCAGTTCCAGTTGCATCATTAATTTATTTAGTAGCAATCTTTCCTTAACCCTAACCCAAAGATATTATTGCTAAATTATCTTCAAAGCTTCTCTCCTTAGCAAACTTTAAAATCTAAGATGTAGGATCTGCTCCCTAGGATAATACAAAGATAATTGGAGTTGTAACATCAGAATCATTGTATAGTGTTTCCATTGTTGTATTTGGAGATTCTAAATAAAATCTACCAATATTTTATTCAACATAATTTGAAAGTGCAAATAATATCTTTTCACTTCTAAAAATTTTAACTATCATCATCTTTTCGAATTCATCCAATTTACTTTAATAAGGTTCTTCTAATTTTACTACCAAAGGATCAGATGCTTAGATAAATGTTTTCCATGCAGCCATATTTTTTTATATGTGTTAACATAATCCTTTAAAAACTTCAAAATTTAAATCCAAATAGGCAGCTAATTCCCAAGATGACTCTCCTATAAGAATTTTATCTGGATTAACTGGTAACTTAGATTTTTCAATAACTCCTGCTCCTCTTAAGAATGAACTCCAAAGTCCATCAGATATTATATTTGCTTTTCTGTTAATTTAAGCTGCTATCAAAAATGAATAAATTAATTTATGTTATTCGAATAATCCTCTGCATACATTTGTAAAGATCACTTTTGTTATACTATCTATTAAATTTGCTAATCTTTATTATAACTCTTCTGCTGGTAATGCTTATCTCATAGCTAAATTGAACATAACTTAGACATATTGTAATGAGTATTAATACATAGGATCTATAAGATTGAGATCTTTTATTACAAAATACAACACTGAACCTCTTACTGCTACAGATCTATATTCATTACGTACTCTTTCTATTGTTTTTTCTAAAACAACTGATTCTTCAATCTTTAGATTACTTTCTTCACTTGTTGTTTTAGCAGATTATAATGATGTAATTAAATCTACATTATCTAAGATCTTTTCTGGGTCTGCTTCTGCTAATTACTTTAAAATCATAGCTTCTGATTCACTCAACATTTTACGATATTATGCTAATTTCATAACATTCTCATCTTTTTGAATTTCAATTTCTTCTTTCTCTAATCTAACCACATCTGCCAATAATTATTCTTCTAAACCTTCAAAAGTCACTGTAAAATTAATTACTGTTACTTTAATAAATACTTCAGGTAAATATTTTGGATTTGGAATCTTTGTTGTTATAAACAATTTGAAATTTTTATCAAAATCAATCTCAGCTTCTCCAAATTTAATTAAAATACGACCATCAGATTCTTTATATTATTTTTATAATATAGTTTCAATTGATGGATCCAAATTCTCTTCAATATCTTAAATCAAAATAGGATATCCATTAGTAATACATAATCTCATATCAGATTAAAATTTTGGATCTGAAAATTTAACAACTTTTAATTTAAGAGCAGAAAAAGAACTCTTAATCCAATTATTAGCTTATTATTGTGGATCAATCATTAAAGGCCATCTATATCCTTAAGTAGCAAGAATAGAATTCTCCTAAGAAACAGAATCACTTGGTAATTTATTAATTGTCCAATCTCTCAATTATAATGGATCACCAAGTGTACCAACTAATGTAAATTTCTCAGATACAGGAATTTATGCTTCTCTAACCTTTTCTGTCCAATGATTAATTAATTCATTTCTATACGGTCCTGTAAATGGTCCATTATATGAAATAGATGCAGCTGCCAAAAATACATCACCTATTAAATTGATTATAGCAATTCCTAATTCTTCAACTGTTCTTGCCCATCTTTCAGCCTCTGATGCTGTCAAACTAATTAATTTCTATGCTCTATCTAATCTAGCTTCAGTTAATTCTTTTAAGTTTTCAAGATCTTATTTCTTTTATGCCATTTCTGCTGTCTCCTACTATAATTTCTTGACTGCCTATTTGACTTTTAAAAGTTCCCCTTCCTTAACTGCTAATTCTTTATTTGCCTAATCTAATATTGCCATCATTTCTGCCACCTTCTTTTTCTTTGGTTCTACTTTCTTACTTACATTTGCATATGTATTCATAGCTATACACCATGATGCCATATCTGCAGCAGGTTTAGCCTTTGTTCTTATTAAATCAGGTACAAAGTCATCTCTTGAAATTATTTTTTTTAAATTATTAAGAATTTTCTCAGGAATATTATCTCTTGGATAATTTTTCAACTAACTTACAAATGATCCTACATCAATCATTGCCTTTTTAGCAGAATCCCAACTAGTATTTTAACCTAATAATGTTAAGACTGCCTCCAAAACCATTACCACTGCTTAAGGTGGATTATTATATGTTCTTACAATCTTTATTTCATTTTCATCCATCTATTCTACTGCTTTTAATGCCTTTTCTAATTCTGGCATTACTACATCCAAATCAGCTTAAGCATCATCTGCTATTATTTTTACATCCTAAGCTTTCTTATTCACTTCTTCTGTTTCAGCCTTTACTAATTATTCCTATTAACT